ATCCACCTGGCCATGCCGGGCCGATCGAAAATGTATTCTTCGTTGAATTTTGTACATAAAATAAGCTTTTATTCTACAAGAATAAATAAACAAACCATCCACACACAAAACACGATTGACCTTATACAATCATAGCTGAACAGTAGCATAATCTATTTTGACCAGATCCCTTATTAACCTCCCCGTCTCACATGTTAGAAGCATGATAGTATTAAAATACCAAGATTAGTTTTGTATAAACATTAACGATGTGTTTTAGTAAAACTAGTAGAGAGTGACACAGCATACTAAAACCCAACGGTGAATCTTAACTTCGGGTGAAAACTAAACTCTCTGAACCACAAGGACATAATTAAAATTGACCGAGAAATCGTAACTACGATAAGCACATAGCTAAACCCAACTGATGCCCTTAGTTTCGTGTGAAGACTAAATTCTTTGAATGACAAGCACATAGCTAAAAGCCGGCGGAGAACCTTAGTTTTGTGTGAATTCCCTGAACGACAAGCACATAAGAATCTTAGCTACGATGTGAAATCAAAATCCTTTGAACGTTAACTACACAGTTAAAATTGATCGAGGATTGTTTGTTTGTTTTGTATTTCGCTAAAAGCTACACGAGGGTTATCTGAGCTAGCTGTCCCTAATTTGGCATCACCCACCGCCAACTCTTGGGCTACCCTTTTACCAACGAATAGTGGGATTAACCGTCACAAAATAACACCCCATTGCTGAAAGGGTGAGTGTGTTTGGTGGGACAGGGATTCGAAACCGTGACTCTCAGATTGCGAGTCAAGCGCCTTAACCACCTGGCCATGCAGGGCTTCTTTACAGAGGAGTATTAATTTCGAGTGAAGAGTAAATCCTCTGAACGACATGCAGGAGAGTAATTTTGGAAGAGAAAATGAAACTTCAAGTAGATTATAAAATGTATATGCGAGCTTTTATGATAACCGAGTTGATTGTTAGAGATATTATCTGTAGCTCAGCTTTTCAGGAGCTTTCATGTATTGGCTTAAACATTCTTTCTATTCTAGATTTTAAGTACTAGTTGTTCCTCGTGTTTGTATTAGGTGAAAATCATGTTACTACAAAAGACAATTTATTCAGCCTAAAAATCTCAGTTTTTATGGTATAATCGAATGGTATAGCAAGTCTAAAAACTCTGAATATATATATACAACAATTTCTAATAATTCTATTGTGTTAATTTGGTTTTCATGTCTTTACGTCCCTCGAGTACACATGTCACAACATATAAAAACATACTGAAACAACCACAATTCCCAATGTTGTATGTTTTGTAAAGAAGGATTGTAACTCTTTAGAATGTGATTATCATACTAATTATTGGACAACTCCAGTATTCAATAGTAAAGTTATATCCCCCTATAAAAAGCCGTAGTTGGTAGTTTAGTTTCGATGACAATCTTGAAAAATTATTCCTGGCATTTATTTTTCTGACTAGAATTAATTCAGTTGTATCCTTCATTAAACGTTTAAATCATGTGGCAAAGAAATGAAATTATGACGAACTTTTAATTAGTTAAATGTTTTATGTTGTGAGATATAATAACCAGAGAGAGAGACGAAAATGAGTAGTTTTTATGAGAGTAATTGGTTGGTTAGTTGTTTTGAATTTCGCGCAAAGCTACACGAGGGATATCTGCCCTAGCCGTCTCTAACTTAGCAGTGTAAGACTAGAGGGAAGGCAACTAGTCATCACCACCCACCGCC